TCTATAATGATTTCAATAATATTATTTATTCAAACACATCGTAAGTGTTCAAGGCCAGACAATCATGTGTCTCTTTCACATTATATTTACTCTATAAGCTATATGATGCCAGAAATTAATGAATATAAAACATTTGAAACATTTACATTTTTATTTGCTTCTCTAGAAATAAATTTCACTACCTAGTTACAATCTATAGCTAGAATATATACATCACCAAGATGAGAAGGCTAAGCAAACTGTGGACACTGTATATAGTTGATGCAGTTGATATATACGTATAATTTAAATATTATATGCTTGTCTGTATTCATACATCATAGTAATTATACCAATCTATCTCTATCTCCCTACACATTTGATTTATTTTGCAGTATTATCTAAGAAATTTGGAGCCAAAATGCTTGTGATTTATAAGATTTATGACCAGGGATTAAATAGATAAATCACAAGGAAAAACTATCACTAAGCCTAACACTTCTGGATGAAGGTTGCAGCAACATTTAGCTGAATTATTTTTTTTTCCTGAATAACCTGTGAACATTCAAATTCCATCTTCTGGATAATATGTGACTATTCAATTTATTCCTCAGAGTTTCTAACTCAGATTATAAGAGTAATGACCTTTAAAGAACTTTTTTAAAAGGAGAGTTTCTCTAAGTCATTAAGCGCCCCGTTATTTAGTGAATAAAAAATCAGGTTATTAGATTAAAATGAATTTTCCTCATCACAACTGTGTAGCTAAACTATGTTAATTTTCAAAGTTGTTTTAAATTTAAAAGACCTAATACCTCTGAACACAAACTTCTAGAACTTTTAAACAAAGTGGATTATCAGTGTTCCTTCTTTCTACTTATAAAAATGCCACTTTTTATTTGAAGTAGGGTTGATTTACAATATTGTGTTAGTTTCAGATGCATAGCATAGTGATTCAGTTTTTTTGCAGATTATATTCCATTATAGGTTTTTACAAGATATCGGGTATAAATCTCTGTAAAAATGCCACATTTAAAGTTGGAATTTAAAATAAGCCATTACATTCTATTACCAATTTTACTTCTAAGAAAAAAATTATTACTTAATAATTTAATAATTATTTAATGTAAGTGAAAGCACCTTGTAAATTAAAGGATCTTTAAATATTTGGTGTACCTGATATTGTTATTATTGAGTTGTCTTTATTTTAAAGAATCAACATCTGCATAATATACCACATTGGAAGACACGTACTTAAGAGAATACTATCACTGGAAACTGAGAACTCAATCCCTTTGGGACTGATGGATGGTGCTTTAACACTTGCTGACTTTCTCTCTTCTTTCAGGAACACAATTAGAATCCATTTTAAAGGAGAAGCACAGTAAACAGAGAAGGATGGGTCACAAATGTCTGTAATTACCCAAGCAAAGTTCTCTCCCTAATAGCTCTTCTGCATTTATGGTAATGGTCCAATTTGAGAATAAATTTATAAAGCCTACATACTCACTCAGCTACATAATCCTGCAAATGTATTAGGCTAGGCTTCATGTGGTACTATGAATGGCCAGCTCTGCTGGATTGACAGCTGTGCTAATGCCATTGACATTTTGGCTGAGAAGGAGTGCAATGCAGATGAGAGGCCAGATGCCACCCCTCTGTTTTCCTCAGTGAAAGTTTTGTGTAAATTGGATGGTTCTGAGATTCCACTCCGCCATGAGTCGGTTCTCCATTGCTTGCTCTAACCCTTCACAAGTACACTAGAGAGCTAGGTTTGTGTCATGTTATTACCAACATATTCATTATTTTCCAGATTTCTGTTTCGCCTTCTTCCTCTTCTCTGACATACCTGGTTGCTAATGAGCTTCAGTTTGTAACCACCCAGGCTCATGCCTTAAATTCTGAGAATATTCTGATCACGATTTTTTAAGTTATTTTTTAACACTTTTATTGTGGTATGGTTCCTGTACAGTAAATGACACATATTTCAAATGTATAATTTGATGAATTTTGATAGCTACACTGATGAAACCACTACCACAATCAAGATAGCTAACATTTCCATCACTCCCCAAGAGGAGCAACTTCTGATCACTATTGTACTTTATCCCATTTCCCACTTAAGTCTCTTAATGTTATCACTTAAAACGCAGTGTGCTTTTTAAAGAAGCCCTCAGACTACTGTAGAGAAATGGAAAGCACATGGACTTTAAATTTAAAATTCCGAATCTGATACTTTAGTATTTTATGACTCTGAGCAAATTACTTAATAATAATGGTGAGCCTCATTTTGGGCTCACCATGTTCACTCATTGTTTCAAGTGCTTTGCGTATTTTAGTTTCTGTCTAATTCTCACAACAACCCTATGAGAGAGCCCTATTATCCCAACTAATGACAAGAGAATTAAGGCACAGAGAGTTTAAGTAACTTTCCCAGAATTTCACAGCTAGAAAGTATGAAACACAACATATAAATCAAGGCATTGTAGCTCCAGAATTGGCACTATAATGCCCTGCCCCACTCAGAAACTCTTTTCTTAATCTATTAAATGAGAGCAATAATATCCTCTCATTCATTGTTTTTGAAGATAAAATAATACTAAATACAGCGTTTGACCCTATGCCTAGAATGTAGTAGTCTATTTCTATTAAATATTAGTTCTTCTCTTCTTTTCCAATGACTAAGGTGGAAAATGCTGATGGAGGAAGGTGGCTGGGGAAGAGGACCAGGATTTCATGTGGGGTAAAGCCTAGTTCTAATGAGGACTTTTAAACTTAATGACAGAATAATTCTCAGAGCCTTTGGTTTGTAGTATTCATGGACTCTAGTAACAAAATCCATTTTTGTTAGGAATATCTTGAGTAAGACATCAGAGTATATAACTTGATAACACCTTCACATTAAAAGACTGTCACTGATAAATTCCATTAAAAATCACAAAAATTATTGCTCTGCAAGCATTATTACAGTATTTAGAAAAAGCTGGAAAGTACATAATATAATATGAATTTTATTAAGCACTAAGCTTACTCTTAAGAATATTCCAAAAAAGTCTTTGATTTAAAATTATAGTTATTTACAATTTTTTATCCTGATTTTTTTTAACATTTTTTATTGATTCATAATCATTTTACAGTGTTGTGTCAAATTCCAGTGTTCAGCACAATTTTTCAGTCATTCATGGACATATACACACTCATTGTCACATATTTTTCTCTGTGATTT